AAAAAAAAAAAAAGTCCCAGCTACTCGGGAGGCGAAGGTATATTCCATTCAGCTGGGACGGTACATGTTGAAGTGAGCTATAATGAGGCCACTGCACTCCAGGCTGGCTGACAGAGCAAGACCTTGTCTGAAAAATCGAGAGACAGCTCCTTCCCTTTAAGAACTGTCTATCAAATTAAATGTGATAATTTGAAAATAAGTACCTGCAACATATTACTAAATCCAGAATAATGTAATCCACACCAAATGCCACAGAGAGCACTGCTAATAACAGGTGGATGAGCATGGGGAGCTGGGAATGCGGATAAGGCTCTGTGGCCTTACAAATTGAAACTAACTTCCAACAGGTGTAAATTCCCGCCCTGACTGTAGTTGCTGGGTTTTTCTTTGCCCTACCGCTATTTCAAAACTGAAGCCAATGTGATTGCCTGAAAAATAACTCAGAAGAGAACTGGGTGTTACACCGTTTTCCGTTCTTTTCATAACGTAATGTGTCATTCTTTCTGGTTTTTCCCCTTCTCAGAATTAAAGCCCCACACGGGCGGTGGGACCCCAAGCTGGCGCGGGGCTCCACATCCTGCGGCTCGGGCCCAGCCCCGTCGCTCTCGGGCGCCCCCTGCCGCCCGCACCAGGGTCTCGCCGGTTGAACGAGCCCCTCGGAAGCCGCTTCAGTAACCCAACGAGCTTCCTCAAACGACCCATCTCCGCACCAGATAAAATCTGCAGAGCAATAAAAATGAAATTCTGCCGGGCCGAATCCCCAGCGTCGGCCCGAGACAACCTGTTCACCCTGAACTCAATCCCTACCTAACCGAAGCGACCCTCCACCTTCGTTTTCTGACTCGGTGGTTCTGTGCTTCCTTCCCACTGCGGACCCGCTACCGCCCCTGGCGGCGGCCACCTTCTTACCCACGGCTCCAGACGCGCTGGAAGGATGAGGCGGCTACCAGGCACGGTTATTTTGAACCATGTTTCCCATCAGCCTTTCTGTCAACATCGCGAGAGTCAGCGAGACTGCCGAGAAGACTTGCGCGCAGGCGCGGTCTGGCGTTCTTGTCGAGGTCGGCCGCGTGGCTAGTGGTCATGGCTGCTCGCCCTGCTGTTGAGACTAGCGAGCAACATCGGGCTTGCGGTGACGGTAAGCCTGCGAATGTGGGAAAACAGGGTCTTCCCTCACAATGGCGCTAATATACTCGGCCTTCCCTTCGTCCGAGGCCAAGTGGTGACAGTAAAGCCGGTGTCTTTCTCATAGGGTGTTTGGGAGGATTGACTGAGATGACAAAATGCATTCCAAACGGCGAGAAACCGTGTAATGTGTAGGGAGAGAGGTCGAGCCTGTCGTCGGTGTCAAAGGGCCTCTTTGGTGGAGAGAGGTCTTCCCACCTGTGCGGTCTGGTGCGCCTCCCAGCCACACGCGTGCTGAGCATGGACGCCGCGGGGTGTCCTGTGTCAGGGAAACTGCCTGACAGTGACAGTTCTTAATTCAACTTCAGGACTGTCGACGTGTAAATACAGGACTTCCGCTTGGGGTGCCTTGAACCCCAGTATGTTGTTTTCATTTTGTTGTTTGTATTGTATTGAATTGTATTTTTCCTTTTGGTTTGGTGTGGTTTTGTTTTCACGCCCCTTTTTTTTTCCTTTCGGTCATGTGCTGTGGCGGTGCGGTGCGAAGCTGCGGTTTGGGTTTTCGCTTTAACGTTGGGGTGGTTACCTTAAGTAAGAATGGGTGCAGTTAGGACGGGGGTGGTCATCAGCATTGAGAAAACAGAGTTGGTATAACTGTGCTGTCACATCCATCTGCCTCATACTTTGTTCTGAGGGTAAGTTCAATTGTGTCAGTACATGGTGACACAGAAGTCTAGTTAGGGTAAAAAAATCTACCCAGAACTCAGAATGCTTAGGAGCCACTAGGTGTCACTGTTTGTAAATAGTGGATGTCAACTGTGCCCTAAGGGAAACTTGGAAAATGAGTTTTAGCTGGAATTTCAGAGTTCTTGTGACTGGTTGAGCTGAGGATGATTTAAAGTTATCCCTGTCTGAAGTGACTTCTTTAGTGAGGAGTTCTGACTTGCTGAGGCTCAGCTTTTTAATACATATCTCGAGAATAAGAACTTTAAGGTTGTTTCTGTTACAGTAAAGCATGTTATCTTTCTCTTTTAGATGAAAGGTGTTCTAATGTGAAAATCCATTATATGATGTTAAGTGTAAGAATCTTCACAATGAAATTTTTGTAAATGGTAAGCATAGATTATTCTTTTAAGTAGTGGTCTGTTAGATTCAGGGATGTGTGGGGCTTCTGGGATTGTGCCCAGATAATGGGAGTAGTAGGGAATGCTTTTTGCTATGCTCTTTGCAAGCAGTCTCGGAAACAGTATTTTTTGTAACAGTCGTATGTGATTTGTTATAACAATCCTATCTGATTTAACCCTGCTGTTGAGTAAATAAATGAGGCTTAGAGAGTTCTCTTCCCCGGAGTTACTTGACTGGTTAGTGAGTTAGATTGTATCAGTGGTTCTCAACTGGAGAGTCTTAACTAGCATCTGGTGGATGCTGCTAAATACCCCATGATAGTCAGGACATCCCTCTTTAGAAAGAATTTATTCAACCAAAACTGAGATTGCGAAAGCCTCAGAACTGTACATTAAACTGATCTAGTCAGTCTGGGCTGTAGTCTGAGCAGATAAGTTGTTTCTGCATTTGTATAACAGGGTTAGTGGTTTCCAAACATGACTATGGGTAAGAACCACCTATAGAGTGTTAAAATACACACTTTTCCCGGGCCCCACCTTTAGTAATGGATGAGAATGGTTCTAATGGAAAACCTAAGATCTGTGTGCCTCATTTGTGTTTGGAGAATGGGTGTATAGGAACAGTTAGATTACGTGATCTGCTTTTAGCTCAAGGATTTTACTATAGCAAGATTATAGTGCTGGCTATTTTTAAGTAGCTCTTGGGACACAGATCTCTAATCCTTTCTTTATCTTAAGAAAGAGCCATATACTTTGCCCTGCAGGGTAGTTTTGTATATACAGGTGGGTGAAGGAAAGTGACTTTGTATGTTACTTCTTGGAGTATTTGGTGCCCTGGCCTTCAACAGGCTAGCTAAAACAAAGTGATCTGCTAATAAAACTGACAAGATTGAGAATTTTTACAGGGGAAATAAAGGACCATTTGATTTAATGGTTTGCATGTGCTATGGCTATCAGCACTGTGTGTTAGCAGATTGGTGGGAGCTGAGTCTGTGATGATGTAGAGTTATCCCTGTCTGAAGGCAAATAAAGGCCTTCTGTGTGGAATGTGGATGTCTGAAACTCAGTTTCCCAAATTTGTCTTTAGGAAAATTTAGGCAATGATTTTCAAGAGAACTATCTGAGAATTACACTTTATATCTTCTTGAGTAGATTTTTTTTCTTTTTTAAATCTTTTCCTCACCAGGTATGGTCTCAGAGGTGAAAAAGGACCTCTAGCAGCCACACTGTGGCAGGTGCCCTGAACCTGGACTGAAGTAGACGGTCTCAGGCATGTAAGTACATGAGACTTTCTAAACAGGCTCAGTCGGATTGTTCTTTTTGCTTCCCCTGCTTTGGACTTAAGCTGTGCAAAGTGACAGAGATTTTAGCATAGTTTTGTTTTCTTTGCTAGGTGTTTGCAGTATGAGAATTATGAACTCATTTCCTGAGGCAAGTGAAGTGATTCCTTCTGTTTGTAAGCTTTATGTCTTTCATGTTCCTAAGAGGCCCCATAAGCCTATGATGGTTGGTTATCCCTGTCTGAAAATCTCTACTGAGGGAAAATAATCTATTCTGAGGCTTAAAGTTTGGGCCCTGTGCTTATTTTTTTTGCCCCCTCCCCAATACACTCATGCTCTTAAAAAGTTCAGGCTTTTTAGGAGAGCAAATTAAATGAACTCCTCAGGGTTTCCCTTCTACCTCCCAGAGCCCAGTTAATGCTTCATCCCTCTGAAACTTGAATATGAAATGTGTCATTGCTGTTAATATTATAGCCCCTTGATTGATGGCTCTGAGGGTACAGGCTATAAGAGGTGGCCGAAAATAGACAAGTAGCCAGGATTTGGTTTCTGCTCCTATTGTGGAATGAGAGAGTGCTTGTCACATTTCAAGAACATGAATGTGCTCTTTGAAACTGAGATGGGAATGTGAAATGCATGCCAGCTTCTGGCAGTTAAGAATGCTTAACGCCTCTGACCCTGACTCTGCACCAGTGTCCTGACATTTAAGGGGAAGGGGTACCGTGGCGCTGGCTGAGCTGATTGGTTTCCAGTGCTTTGTTAACACCAGGGAGCTCTCCTAAGTTTGGACACACATTGCCTTTCTTTTCTGCCAGAATTTGTGGGTGTGTTCAGACTTTTTTTTTTTTTTTTTTTTGAGACAGAGTCTTGCTATGTTGCCCTTGGTAGAGTACCGTGGTGTCACAGCTCATAGCAACCTCAAACTCTTGGGCTTAAGTGATTCTCTTGCTTCAGCCTCCTTAGTAGCTGGGACTACTGAGAAGGCCAGATTGATCCCATCTTGCACTCTCTCATCCTAATTGGGCACAATACTACAGATACCCACCACCGCTCCCGGCTATTTTTGAGTTGGAGTTCTCCTTGTTTAGCAGGGCCAGGCTGGGCTCGATCCCACTAGCCTTGGTTTATGTGGCTGGTGCTCTACTTAGTGAGCTATGGGCACCGAGCCTAAATATCACATTTTTGTTTGGTCACTAAAAAAGATGTATTTGGGGTAAGATTTAATGAATGAACCTATAAACTGGCCCCAGCGGCTTTCAGCCTGCAGGTAAAACAAAGTGGAAGTGTGGCCGAGTGAGTGGAGAAACTCTGCATCTTTGGTTATTTCTGAGTAAATCTGACTGCTCTATAGAGCTCAAGTAAACTTTAAAGTTTGACTTAAAATGTTTACATTCAGAGGGAGTTGAATATAAATGTAAATATCTCTAGTGCTTCATGGGAGCGCTTTTAAATTTTTTGATAGTCCTTGATTACATTCCCATAGTGTACACGTATGCCTTGTGCTGGTTAGAATTAATGTTTCAGACTGCATTTTTTCACCTAAATTGGTTGTTACCATGTAGCTTTCAGTCTCTTTTCTTGGTCATTATTTCAAGTTAATTCTCCTTTGGTTTTGCAGGTTAACTGTAATGGGATGCCAGATCAGCACAGCCCTGCCTCTGCTGCCAGTTGCTAATGCCTGTAAAATAATCTCCCCCAAAGAATCATTTGAGAATTCTTTGGACTTCATCTTGAAAGGAATTCAAGTGGCTGGGATTATCCCAGAAAACCTTTGGCAGTTAGTGAAATTAGGGTACAACTTAGTGCATTCAGACCTCCAGTTTGGGTGACCTGGGTATAATCTCATAAATTAACAGTTCTGATAAGGATTGTAATTTGAAATTAATTAACATGTATATACTGTTATGGGAGACTAATGGGAAATGTTTTTTCTATGGGAGCAGTGTGTCTTGGGTTTAAATTTTGAAGCACAAATAAAGCTTTCTTATTGACTCACTAAGATTGTGGATTTCAGATTGAGACCCACAGTGAGAATGATACTTTATTCTGTTACTTGGTAAACATATTTGTATGAGTTTCAGAAAATAATACTTAATCTCACACAGAATGCCATCTGATGTTTTCTACTTTTTTAATAGCCTGCTAAATTGGTTTCATGCCTCACTAATGGATTGTCACCCACATAAGTTTTAGTGCTTATACTTCACATGTAATAAAGGATTTTCTGGTATCTCCACAGAGGGGCTTCCAGGGAATAGACCATGGTTTGAATAGAACATCAATGCCTTGGTTTTTTCATGTGAAATAGTGGTCAGAAAATTTCCAATACTGGCTTACCAGGGCAATTGGGTTTCTTTACTAAAAGATTACTGTGTAAGATACTAGTGTGGATTGTGAGTGTCAGAAGGATGCCTTGCATATTCCCATTTGACCATGTTCTTTCCATACTAAGTATTGCATTGAAAATAACGTACTGCTTTCTTGGAAACTGAGGAGTGTTTGGTGTTGCCAAGGTAAAGCAAATTGAAAGGCTTTGTGCTGATGCCAGTAACTGAAATCCTCTAATTCCTCCTTCCCAGGCAGCAGCATGCTATAGTTTCCCCAAGTAGCTGCTTTAGTAGTTAAAACCCAGATATCTCTGAATTTCTCAGGTGGTATTTTACTTCTAGTGATGTAGTTAATCGCATCACTTTTGTTAAGTATTCCGATAGAATCAGCCTTCTAAAACCACAGAATCAGAAGCTAGGTCCATAACTGACTGACATGGACTGATGCCTTGAGAAGTCTCTAGCCAGCTATCCCTGTGGAGACATTTTCTCTCTGCCTTATACAAGGTAGCATCTCAAACTGTCCAAAGCCACTAGATATCAAAACAGTAAATAACAGCTTGCTTAAGGATTGTGTGATGACTTGTTGGGATGACACTTTGTTAAAATCTCTTTGAATCAAAGCCCGTAAAATTATGAAACTACCTATCAGCTATTTAACTTCAAATGTATTGAAGCCATGATGTGAGAGTGATGACTTGTTACCCAGTAATGTCATCCTGTTGTGACTGGATGGTGACACATCTCTAATAAGGTCTCCCTCAGTGGCAGGAAGGCCCTAGTAGTGCTCTTGGATTCAGGGAGGGGTCTCCATCTGAAACACCACGCATTGCATGCATATGATTTACCCAGGACAAAGGAAGACAAAATGGTTGTCCATCGTTTATGCAGTTACCTAGTACTGAATTACATTCTGCCTTTTCTCCTATCATGGGGCAGAAGTCTATCATGTTCTTAGAAAGGCTCTTAGGAGATGTCCTGAAGTTGAAGTGCTTTGGCCTTTGTGTGGGGTGTGACACAGTAGCGGTCTGGGGCTCGTGTGTTTCCTTGTCCTGCTGCTTTGTCCTGTTCAACCAGTAGGCCCTCAGTCACTCCTAAAGTCACTTGGTACAAATGCAGCAAAGCAGTCCCTTTCCAAGGTTGGGGTGTATCTCAGACCCAGAGAGGTGTTTTCTCAGATGAGCCGAGGTTAGGGTAGAGTGTCCTTCATTGGGCAGGCCTTAGCAACAGTCACAAATTACCCCCAGTGCCTTTTGTTGGGAAATGGGGGGGGAGGGCTGGAAAGTTAGAAAAAGGCTTTCGGCCACTTGAGGGGTCCAAGGCAAGAAGCAAAGGGCTTGGTGCTTTAAGGTCAGCGCTGGTATAGCTGAAGAATGCCAGCTTTGTGTAGGTCCCTCCACAGGGTGGCTTCCAGGATTAGGTCGTGGTTTGCATAGAATATCAGTGGCTTCTTTGTTCGGTCGAAATAGTGGTCAGAAAATTTCCTGTAGTTGCTTGTGATGAATCCATAGGCACTGACCTGGACAAGGGTAGTCACTGAGTTAGTATTTACTGAGCTCCCCTGGTATGTAGACAGACTGAAAGGATAAGAATTCACAAAGGAGTGGTCCCTTTGCTGGGGTTTAGTTGTAGATAGTGTCTGGGAAAGGGCTTATCCCAGTTTAACAAATGGGAAAACAGGCTCAGAGCTAGGTTTGGAACTCAAGGATGCAAAAGCCTATTACTACCCCATCCCTTTCTAGAGGCTGCAGTCTGGAGACTCTAGCATTAAGTAAGACAGGCAAGGTGCATGCCAGGGTCATGGAGTGGCCTTTGCCCCCCAGCTCTGACCCTTGAAAGCTGCTGCTCACCCTCTGCCTCCTTGAAGTTAATGTAGGCAGCACAGCAACAGGAGTGTCTCATACAGTGATTTTGTTTTTGTGTGTGTGAGGCTAAACTTTCTGCTCCACCAGCTCTAGGATGTCCCTAGTTCTGTGAGGGGATATTCTGCTTTTAGGAGAGTAGTTTGATAATTTGCTCCTTGGATACCATATCAAGTCTCTGCCTTGGGGAAGAGAGTGAGAGGAGGAAGCAGGGCGGGAGGCAGTGGGAACCAAGGCAAGGCCAGCCCAGGACTGGCCTTTATGTGACCTTGGACAGCAGGCACAGAAGTGAGTGGAGTGGCACTCTTGGCAGCTGGGAATTCTTCCCCTACAAATAGAGGCTGAGAGTCGCAGGTCTGAGGTTTATATTGGGTTCAGTTCACATCTGTCCTTTGCAGCCACAGGCTTCTAAGCAAGAAGACCTCTTACCTGGTCACAGGCATGCAAAGCTGTCAGCAGCATGAGGGCCCCAGTACTAGGCATATATAGGTCTCCGAAATTTGTGTTAATCAACTTTGATTTTAAAAACCTGGAAGCAGAAAGAGGCTGAGATTTGAGATCACATTTGACAATTATCCATTCAAACAGATTGGAAAACTTTAAAAACCCTGGCCCTTCTACCCCACTCATTTCCCTATTTGGGTTTTTTTTTTGAGACAGTCTTACTCTATGGCCACCAGTAGAGTGCTGAGTGCGGTGGTGCCACAGCTTACAGCAACCTCAAGCTCTTGGGCTCAAGTGATTCTCTTGCCTCAGCCTCTGGAGTAGCTGGGACTATAGACGCCCACCACAACACCCAGCTATTTTTAGAAATGGGTTTTGCTTTAGCTCAGGCTGGTCTTAAACACATGAGCTCAGGCTGTTTGCCTGCCTTGGCCTCCCAAGAGTGCTAAGATTATAGGTGTGAGCCACTGTGCCTGGCCTCAATTCCCTATTTGGGTAAAAAGCCAAATGAACCCCTAAATGCAACAACAATCTTTGGTTGAAATAAAACTCTTTAGGTGAAGGAGAGTGGGACGGTGGTGGTAAGAAAGATGAACTATAGGTGAAACCTTTCTCTTGCTCCCACTCTGCAACACCACTGTTTACCTTGAGTTACTCAGTAACCTCCCTGCTTAGGGCCTGGCTTATTTAGATTAAGACTTGAGTTTCTCTGCACCCACATCCTGGCCAAGCAGGAATCATGGCTGTGGGACAGGGAGTGCAGATGCTATGACTGGACTGACTGCTGTGGTGGGGTAGACCCCACAGTGTCCAAAGATGAGGCTGCAGTGTAGTGACCCATAGGCTCTAGTCTCTCTGAGCCTGTCTCTTCCTCTGTAGCGTGGGGACATAACTGTGCTGGGGCTTTATTTGGCCTCCGCAGAAGCACATGCGTCCCTGGCCCACTTGATCCCTGTTCTGAGATACTGGCCTCTGGTCTGCCACATGGCTTCTTAACCGTGGCATGATTGGCATTTGGGGCCAGACAGTTCTTTGTTGCTGGGGCTGCCCCACGTACTCTATAAGGTGTTCAGCATCTCTGGCCTCTACTATTAGTGGCATTCACTGCACACCCCACCCCCACCCCCTTGACAACCAAAAATATCTCTAGGTCGGGTGTGGTGGCTCACACCTGTACTCTGGGAGGCCAAGGTGGGTGGATCACCTGAGCTCAGGAGTTTCAGACCAGCCTGAGCAAGAGGAAGACCCCATCTCTACTAAAAACAAGCCAGGTGTGTGGTAGGTGCCTGTACTCCCAACTACGGAGGTTGAGGCAAGAGGGTTGCTTAAGCCCAAGAATTTGAGGTTGCTGGGAGCTGTGATGATGCCCCAGCACTCAGGGCACAGAGTGAAACTGTCTCAAAAATAATAATATATATGTATGTATACCAGACAGGACCATTATGTACCTCTCCCCTCCAGCATTGAGAACCACTGGTAGGGAGGGAAGAGGGAAGTGAGGTCAGGCCATCTGTTCCCAACCACCTCCCCTCCTGTCACCTCCAGCTGCTCTGTTTGGGCTTCTAATGGGCCCACTACTGCTGCACACCCTAGGGCTCCCTTACCTAGCCTATGCCTTCTTGAGTTATCCTGAGTTGCCTATCCATTTCCTGTTGAACCTGACTTATGACACCCTCCCCATCAAGATGTTAGATGAAATACAGTGGAACCTCTGTAAGTTGACCACCCAAGGGACTGTAACAGCCTGGCAAACATGGAGGTGGTCAACACAGGACCTAGCCCCACTGTACTGACACTGATGTGGGTGCATGTCCAGTCTATGAAAATTAGGTCAACTTAAGGAGGTGGACAGCTATGGAGGTTCCACGGTGGTAGGTGAAAGAACAGAAAGTGCTTCCCACAAAGCACTCAGCATAGGTGAGCTCAGGTTACTGGGTAGTGCAGGGGCTTGCAGGCCGCCCTGCGCGGATGTGGGGCAGGTGTGCAGGGGGGAAAGGGTGGGGAAGCTGTTCTTCCCAGCATCTCGCTTCCATACCTGTCTGTCAGGTAGCCGATGAAGTCCGGATGTAGCAGCTTAAATTTACTGGCCGAGGCTTCTGGTCCAAAATAGGTGTGAGGCCTAGGACCCGTGATAGAAGTGGACAGAGCGCCCAGATCCGTCGTATGAGAATTGGGAGAGGGAGGGGAGGGGAGAGGCGCCGGGGCGCCGGTGGTACCTGGTGCCGTAGTAGGGGCGGGGTTGGGAGTAGTAGCGGGAGAAGGGTGTGTAGAAGGTGGCAGGCAGCACAGTGGGGACCACGTGTGGCTTCCCAGTCACAAGGACATCAACGGGTGGGGTGTAGGAGAGTGAGGAGGGGGGTGTGAACAGGGCCGGAGGAGTGGGGTAGGAGGAGCAGTTGAGTGGAGGATAGTGAGGGGGCGGAGGGAGGAGGGGGAAGTAGAGCGAGTCCGGAGGGCGGGGGCTTTCCGGCTCCCGGGAGGGGCTGGGGGACGGGACGGGGACGAAAGAGCAGCGGCTCTGGGGGAGTGGTGTTGTAGGGGGCTGGAAAAAGGGAGGCTCCTTCATAAAGCGGGGCACGTAGGGGGCGATGTAGGATGGGATGCCTCGAATGGGCCCGATATACGAGGCCGAGGTGGCAGGGCTTTGGGAGGGGGACCTGGGGATGGGTGTAGCGGGGTTTAGGGAAGGGTTTCGGGAGACGGGTTTAAGACCAGACTGGGAGGGCGATTTGGATGGGGGTGGAGTGGGGTTTTGGGAACCCGCTCGGGGCACGTGAGGACTAGGGGTTAGGGAAGAAGCCCGGGAAGAGGGCTGTGAGGCATTTGGGGTGGCAGGATGAGAGGGGGGTCGGGAGGAGGAGACCCGAGTAGGGGAAGGAGAAGGGGCTGAGCCTCCAGAGTTGGCATTGGGGTGCTGGCCAGGAGCGGCGACCACATTGTTGGAACGGGACTGGGAGGGGGACTGGGTAGGGGACGGACTGGGGGTGTGGGAGGGGGAGTTCATTGGTGTTGGGGAGGCTTATGTCCACCTGATGTCTTTGAGGCAGCCCCCCCTAAGGGCCCAGCCCTACTGTGTCACAAAGGCCAGGTCATGACCCTCAGCATCATAATGATTGTTGGGTAGTCACCAGGGTGGGGGTTGGGGGGCCAGGGCCGGGATTAACTCATAAAGGGCTGGCTGCTTTTTGGGGAGTGGATGAGATGCTTCAAGAGCACTAAGATAGGCAGGCTGGCCATCTAGGCCACAGCAATGACGTAAATTTCTAGGGCCCTGATCTCAAGAACAAGAGAGTGTCTCTCACACTGTATCCCATGATAGAATTAATGTGCACAAATATGATCTAATAAAAAAAAAAGAGAGAGTGTCTCAGAACCACAAGGAGGAGGTTCAGATGAGGGTTAGGACATGGTTCAAAAGACTGGACCCAAGCTTGCCATGCAGGAAGGTGGGAGAGAGAAGATAAGTGCCCTTTGTTCCCACCTCTCCAGACACTGGGCCTGTGGGGACTGCTTGTCCTGTGTTCTGGGCATGGCCCTGGGAAGTGCCCCAAGGGAGAAGCAGTATGGACTGGCCCCTACTCTTGGTTTCTGGAACAATGAGCTCAGCAGGACAGCAGACCTGCTGAGCCTACATCCTTGGGCAGCTGGTGCTGGGCCAGTTATGGAGATAGCAGCCTGTCTGCTCCATTCAGAAAATCTCCCCTCCAGCCTCCAGCTGGAGGATTACATGGGACCCATAGGGTCACTTGGGCTTTCCTTGGGCTAGGCAAAAAGAGTATAATTCTCCAATGCTGAATTATGTTGAATAATTGGGGATTATCGGATTCTTGGGACTTTTTTGCTTTTCTTGTCCCATCTTCTCTCCCCAAACAACTGGCCCTGGAAGTGAGGGGAGGCAACTGCAGCATCACCCGCTTTCTGCCTCAGCCTGCTCACCTGTCCCCTTTATCAGGGCCTTCAGGGATGGGTACACCCAGGATGGCTGATCTCAGCATCACGTAGTCTCGGAGGTTGGAGGGGATGAAAATATAGTGCAGGTCCTGTCAGAAGAGAGACACAGCCCAGAGGGGAACAAAGCCACATTTAGCTCCTGCTTGGGATGGGTACCTTTCCACCCCCCACTTGAGTAAGCTGATTAGAGAACTTCTCTTGTACACCGTTAATTTCTACTCTGAGGTACTGGAGCAGTTTCAGTATGTGTTCACAAATCCTTTCATGTTCCTCCCTTTAAGAGATGAAGCCTAAGTGCCATTTCCTTGAGAATGGGCTGGACTGACTAATGCATAGGATTTTTCTAATAAACAGAAAGTGATTAGCAAAATGTTGTGGCAGGTGCCTGTAGTCCCAACTCCTGGGGAGGCTGAGGCAGGAGGATCACTTGAGCCCAGAAGTTTGAGGTTGCAGTGAGTTATGATGATGCCACTGCACTCTAGCTGGGGTGACAGAGTGACACTCTGTCTCAAAACAAAGTGGAAAGTGACGATGTGACTTTGAGGACTAGGTCATAAAAGGTGCTGTGGCTTCTTGCTCTCTCCTGCTCACCCTGGGTGAAGTTAACTGCCATGTTGTGAGGACACTGGAGTCACCCATGGAGAGGCCCATGTGGCAAGGTCTGTGAGTGTGCCATCTTGACTCTGGCACCAGACAGATCTTCAAAGACCACAGCCCACCACCTGGAGACCCTAAGCCAAAAACACTCCACTAAGCTGCTCCCAAATTTCCTGACTGTTGAAATTGTAAGATTATAAATGTTTAAAGCCACCAAGTTTTGGAGGCACTTGTTACATAGCAACAGATAACTCAAACAGATATTGTGGTGTGGCCACTGCCACATTTTGTTCTACCAAGAGCTAAGAGGGGTTCTACTGTGAAGACAGTGTGTAGACACCGATTCCCTGGTCAGAGGCGGAAGCTGTTGGAAACCCCGCTCAGCCTTGTCCACCACCACAGAACCCTGTTTCCAGGGGTCTCTCAGAGCACACGAGGAGGGAGGTGTGAATTTCTGGCAACCAGGTATGGTTGAAAGAACTTAGAGGCCAGTCCTGATGGACTCAGATGCTGGACCCCAACCCACTAGCTGTGACCTGGGACATGTCCCTCAATCTCTTTAAGCCTCATTTTCCTACATGGCTGTTTTGAGAGTCGGAGAGGTCACACATTCTTTCAGTGGGTGGTGTGAGGAAACAAACCCTAGCACTGGGGCCTAGATCTTGATAATTCTAGCTAGCTGACCTTGGACATGTTCCCGAACCTCTCAGCATCTCAGCTTTGCCACCTGGAAATTGGTACAATGATCCCGTTTGGGGCTGCCGTGTTCAACCATGTCTACTCCCTGCGTCCTTCTGGAGTCAGAGGGGTTAACACACGCCCTTCTCCTGTGCACAGCTTCGACAGGCTCATCTCTCCAAAGAGCACCAGGCTTTCATTACCAGTAAAGTGGGGCTGATGCGGTCTAAAATGTGCCTGGCATGCCATGAGCACTCAGTAAACATTAGCCATCCATACTCCATGTGCCAGAGGTGTCCTGTGTTCCTGACCAGATCCTCTTTCACCTCAATGGTGCCCTCTCGTGCAGCCCAAATCCTAGCACCACCTCTCCATCCACTGGACCAGGGTTTGTGAACCCTGTGGCCCACCCCACGGTCACTGTCAACCACAATCGCATACCTGCTAGGAGCCTTACCTGTCCTTGCGGCACAGAGGTGAAGCCCGCATTCTGGTAGGAGATGAGGGAGTTCTTCATGGTGTTCACAGTGAAACCATAGAAAGAAGTCTTGGTGCCCACATCACGCTCGAAGCCTTTGATCACAGCGCCATTGAGCCTGTGTATATCAGCGCAGAGACATCAGTCTCTGTGGCTACAACATGCCGTCTGTTTACTTCCATCCGCCACAGTTCTGCCTTCTTGTTCTCATGCCTCTGGATAGACACTCCCTCTGCCCACGGCAGCACCAGTGCCTGGTGGTCAGCCTGACCCCCACTCCTCCAGACTTCAAGGGACAATGCCCTAGAAATAGGTAAATCAGACCCTGGTGGCCCCTTCCTCTTGGGTTCCCTTGCATGTCGGTACCCACCCTCTGTCTTCAGGGCCTGCTGTTCACACATGGCTCCATCCATGGCCATGTGCCCATCATGATTGCTGAGCTGCCTAAAGCCACTGCTGCCTTGACTCACTGGTCCCAGGGAAGCTGGCCCCCCAGGACTGGCCCCTGCCCCTCATACCTGAACACATAGTTGTGGGCATCAATGTTTGCACCCTGGCGGGACCCGTTCAGAATGCCGCCGTTACCCACTACAGCACACCGGATACAGTTTGGAGGTGGCTCCCTGGAGGCGGCAAACAGCTCTGCGCTATCTGATCCATTTAGAAGGCTCAGGGTGGAGTTGATAGCTGCAGGGTAGGATGGGAGCAGATGGCAGGGTCATTCTGGGGCCTCCCCAGGCCTGAGCCCAGCCTATCCCAAGAAACACAGAGGGTGGGAGGAGAAGGAACTGTCAGAGTGGGAGAGGATTAGAAAGAGGACGGTGGGGCAGGGGGCTTGGTGGGTCTTCAGTTCTAAGAAGTAGGATAACTCATCTTCTTAAGACTGGATATATTCCAAAAGAAAAGACTCTCAGACCTGGGAGAGAGTGGGAGTGCATGTGGGAATGGGGGTTGCAGATTGATGCAACAGGGAGGGAGGTGTGGGCCTGAACTATGGTGGCTCCCTCAGCAACCGTGAGGAAGGCTGAGGCTCCCCTATCCCTGGCCACTATTGGATGCTAGAGCTTTTCATGCCAGGGAAGGCCCCAGATGGTGAGTACCACCCAGGAGGGGTGGGCCCAGCCCTCTCACAGACCCCTGGGTGCCTAGATGGAGGAGGGAGGTGAGGGGAGGGGAGCCAGAGGGGGGAGCACTGGGAGAACTGGCCTCCCTTGGGGCCAAGAATGGAAAGCTGAGGCAGAAGGCAGGGCGGGAGGCAGCAGGTTACCGTGATGAGAGAGCCCCTGCCAGCCATAGGGGGCCTTGTGCTGGCTCAGGTGGTCCCAGAGCTCTGGAGTGAAGAGGCCCCACCACAACAGCACTGGCTTAGAGAGATCAAACAGACTCCGGAAGTGGGGATGGCGCTGAATGGCCAGGTGAAGTGGGTGTTGGCAGCGGTGGCTCTGTGGGTGGGAAGATGTGAGGGCTGAGCTAGGAGGGGGCTTGAGTGATAGGAAGCCTCCCCTGGAGCCCACAGACCCCACAGTGGAGTTGGGAGGGGAGACCTGCTCTTCCCCTCCAGGTAGGGCCATCCCTGGATCTTCGGGCTGAGCTGGCTGGTGGGGGTCAGAGAGCTTTCTGAACTTGGCCTTGCTGCCCCTCCTCTCCTGGATGCCAAGTATCCATGGCCTGGTGGCTCTGGCCTCACACTACTTCACCTCACACTTGGGCAAGTACTGGGGCATTTTCCAGTGAGAGGGTAGGACCTGCTGCCCCCTCGGAGGAGAAGTTCCAGCCTGGGTATTGGAGTCATCAGCCTGGATGCAGACCCTCGCACAGCAGTGCTCACTGTGATCAGACTGGTCGCCTTTCTTCTAGGTGGTACCTATGCTGGGTTGAATAATGTCCCTCCCAAATTCATGTTCACTCATAACCTCAGAATGAGACCTTATTTGAAAATAGGGTCGGGTGGCGCTTATGGCTCAAAGGAATAGGGCGCCAGCACCATATGCCAGAGGTGGCGGGTTCAAACCCAGCCCTGGCCAAAAATGGCAAAAAAAAAAAAAAGAAAAAGAAAATAGGGTCTTTGTGGATGTGATTAGTTAAGAGGAGGTCACATGGGTTTAGGTTGGGCCCTACAACTAGTTTTCTTATAAGGAGGCCATGTGGCCACATGACACCAAGAAACCCTGGAGTCACCTGAGGCCGGCCTAAGGCCTGGGAGCCCTTCTTGGGCACCTGAGGGAGCATGGCCCTGCCAGCATCTTGATTTCAGACTTCTGTCCTCCCAGAACAGTGGAATAATCAGGTTCTCTTGTTTTTATTTATTTATTTTTAAGACAAGAGTCTCCTGTTGCCAAAGCTAGAGTACAGTGGCGTCAGCCTGCTCACAGCAACCTCCTGGGCTCAAGCGATCTTCTTGCTTTAGCCTCCCAAGTAGCTGGGACTACAGACATGAATCACTGTGTCCAGCTGCTTTTTCTATGTTTTTTTTTTTCTGAGACAGAGCCTCAAGCTGTCCCCCTGGGTAGAGTGCTATGGCTTCACTGCTCACATCAACCTCCAACTCCTAGGCTCAAGCAAGTCTCCTGCCTCAGCCTCCCAAGTAGCTGGGACCACAGGCGCCTACCACAATGCCCAGCTATTTTTTGGTTGCAGCCATTATTGTTGTTTGGTGGGTCCGGGCTGGATTCGAACCCACCACCTTAGGTGTATGTGGCTGGCACCTTAGCTGCTTGAGCCACAGGCTCCAAGCCACTTTTTCTGTTTTTAATAGAGATGGAGTATAGACTGTTTTTAATAGAGATGGAGTATAGACCAGCTCTTGCTTGGGCTGGTCTCGAACTCCTGAACTCAAGAGATCTGCCTCGGCCTTCCAAAGTGCTAGGATTGCAGGCGTGAGCCATTGTGCCCACCAGTTTCTCTTGTTTTAAGTCCCTCTAGTCTGTGGTCATTTGTTCCAGCAGCACTAGGAGAAGAATACAGCATCTTTTCAATCAGGGGCCTGGAGGGAGTGTGGGGTGACTAAATAGGCAGGCTCCAGCCTAGTTTACCTGCAATCTCACAGCGGTGACCAGGTAGGGCTACTGTTGCACTCAGTGGGGCTCCTTGTTAAGCTGTTGGTTTGATCAAAGGATAAATCAGGAAGTAGCTGTGCAGTAATTTCTGTTATGATGTGACATATGGGTGCCAAAAAGTCACCATGATATGGAAAGCTGTGCAATCAAAGTCATGGGGCTTAGGTGGGGCACAGTCACTCATAACTGTAATTGGGAGGCCCAGGTGGGAGGATCATTTGAGGCCAGGCAACCTCAAAATGAGACCCCACCTCTACAAAAATATATATATTTATATTTTGAGAGAGAATCTTACTCTGTTGCTAGGCTAGAGTGCCATGGGGCCAGTATAGCTCACAGCATCCTCTGACCCCTGGGCTCAAGCCATCCTCCTGCCTCAGCCTCCCAAGTAGCTATAGGTGCCTGCCACCATACCTGACTAATTTTTCTATTTTTAGTAGAGATGGGGTCTTGCTCTTGCTCAGGCTGTTCTCAAACTCCTGGCCTCAAGGGATCCTCCCACTGTGGCCTCTCAGAGTGCTGGGATTACAGGCATGAGGCCCCGTGCCTGGCCTACAGAATATTTTCAAAAATTAGCCAGCTGTGGTGGCATATGCCTGTAATACAAGCTATTCATGAAGCTGAGGTGAGAGGATCCCTTGAGTCCAGGAGTTGGAGGCTACAGCGAGCTGCAATGATGCCACTGCACTTTAGGCTGGGCTACAGAACAAGAGACCTTATCTAAAAACAAATGCCCCATGGGGCTTATGGGAGCATGAGATAAGCAAGCCGCATAACACTGAGAAGTCTTGTGAGTAATGCAGAAAACAGAAGATAAAAACCAAAGAGACAGAAGCACAGTTTTACACGTGTTCCACAGTTAAGGAATACTTAAGGTTAGCTGGTGGAAGTGGGAGTTGGAAGGGGGCAGCTTGTGAGGTACTGTGAAATGGTGGAAGGAAGACTGTCTAAAATCAGAAGGGATGGGCAGGTATGTTGGCTCACACCTGTAAGCTAGCACTGTGCGAAGCCGAGGCAGGTGGATTGCCTGAGCTCAGGAGTTCGAGCCAGCCTGAGCAAGGGGAGACCCTGTCTCTAAAAATACCTGGGTGTTGTAGCAGCTATAGTCCCAGCTACTCAGGAGGCTGAGGCAAGAGGATCTCTTGAGTCCAAGATTTTGAGGTTACTGTCAGCTATGTTGTCACAGCACTCTACCAAGGGTGTGGAAGTGAGACTCTGTCTCCAAAAAATAAATAAAAATAAAATAAAATGAGAAGGGATGAGCCTATAACATATGCTGTGAAGCTGATGGACGTCTCAGACATGCAGGAATGTGCTTTTTGGTATATTCTTATGTGGCGCTGTTCCGTTGGGTATGGCTTCTTGTGTTTACTTAATATTTTCACTGACAACATTTCTTTTTTTTTTTTTTCTTTTTTTTTTATTGAACGGTAACTATGTACATTAATGCACTTCTGGGGTACAGTGTGGGGTTTTCACATGCAATCTGAAATACTTCCATCAACTG